CCACGGTGTCCTCTCCAAGGTCTCCCAGCACCCGGCTCCACAGCTGCGTCGGACACAGCTTTCCTCTCTGCATCTCACCTGGCCCGCTTGGAGAAAGGGCCAGGGAGCCCCTGAGGCCACATGACTAGCAGGGAGGGAACATGTTCCAGGTGCTGACACAGAGACACTTGGGGACATCTTGGGGACACTGAGCTACCAGACCCTGAGCCACCCAGCCAGGACCGAGGGTCAGGGACCTGGATTACCTGTTGGCTTCATTCTTACTAGAACATCAGGGAGGACACAATAAACAGACTGCAGCTTCAATCTGGTGGCAAGAGAGCAGGATGGCAGGAAGGGTTCCCAGCTGGGCGATGCAGCAGCTGGGCTGTACATCAGGCTGCAACCAAGAGCTCCAACCTGCAAAAGGATCTGTTGCTGTTTTGACTATACTGCACCCTGCCAAGGGACAGGGCAGGCAGAGGCCTTGGAAAGCAAAGCCTGGCAAGGCTATCAGAGCAACCCAGTGCGAGGAAGAGAGGGAGCAGATTCTCTCCCACTTGAAGAGAACCCACAGCTCCATCAGCTCTTGCGCTACACAGAATGAATCCCTGAACTGACCTTCACTGCCTCCCTTCCTCCCGCTCCCTCTCCTGGGAAGTGCTTAGGAAACCAAACCTTCCCAGCTTCACTTGAGGGTGAGGCAGGAGCCACGAGCAAGAAGAGAGGGATGGTCGTGACAAGAAGTCAAAGGATGAGCTTTGGTAGACGCAGAGCATAAAGACATGAGAAGCGCAACAGAAACTGCTGGAAACTGTGTCTGTCTGACAAGTCCCAGCTCCATCAGTCCTATCTGGACCAATAAAAATATTTATTAGAGGAAAGCTAGCCAGGGGAGGTGTAAAACCACAGGCCCCCGGCACGTGCTAAGGGCCGAGCTTGAGAAGCAGGCAGAAAGTTTCCATCAGGCCCACGGGAAACGACGGCAGCAGCAGCGCTGCCATCAGAGAACGTCTGTTCCATGGCCTGCAGGAGTGGCTATAG